TCGTAGCTCCAAGTGTAACGAATAAGAAAACCTTGTTTGTAACCAATTCTTTAACAGCTTTTGGTAGCTCTTTAATACTATTACCGTAGTTATTGTCAATTACAGATTTACCGATAGCAATCTTAGCACGCTTTTCTTTGTTTTTCTCGTATTCTGGTAAATGCTTGGGATAGGCTAGTAAAGGAACCGCTGTCATAGCCATTAATATAGCAGATAATACATAGCCAAACCACCAAGCGCCAACCCATTGCGGATCGGAAGAGTTGATATCTATGATGGGCGAAAAACGATACTTTGATTATTCATTAGACTTAGACTAGTTTGATTATATGATTGTATATTTTTTATCCATTTTTCTATCATGAATTTACAGGCCTTGAATAACTTGATAATTACATAGTTAGAGCGGTTTTTGTCGACTCAACTTTGGTCGCAAAGTAAAATGAAAATTCGTCGAGTCTATATAGTAATAACAATTCACTTGCAATTTAATATCATGATACCTGTTGGTCTAGTAGGCCAATCGACAAAGAAATTTAAGAAAGCGCCTCCTAGTAAATATCCAGCTCCAGGTCCAAGAGAAGCTAACGCGCCAAATACACCTATGTAGATAGGTGATGCTGTTGGGCTGACATTTTCGTCGAGATAGGGAAAAGCGATAGTCCAAATAATTGTCGACCCCATACCAGAAATAAGTTGGCCCAAGGAGAGGATAAAAAGTTGTACAGATGACGAAGATATCGCACCACTAATACAGCTACTACCGGCTGTTTCATTACATATACTGCTTACATTTAAAACCGCAGAATATTGATAACGTCCGTAAATGAAATGAGGAGAAGCAATAATCATCGATCCGATAGCCATTAATATACTTCCAGTCGCTACCCATTTCCCTTTATGCGTATGAGCAGCGAAAAAACTAAATATAAAGCCAAATACACCCGCTCCAACATCATACATGGCTGCCATAACCCCAATTTCCGTACTAGTAAATCCAAATTGCTTCTCTAATGGAAGGACCGCAGCAGACATTAACCCAGTAACTTGCATCCCAGCCAAAAAGACGAAGGCGCCTACATGAACTGTCAACCATTTGGCCGAATTAAAACATTGTAACCAATTTGGCTGACATGGTCCATAGCCAAATTTACCATTATATGGGGTCACATTGTCGTCATCTTCACTATTTTTTATATATAATTTAGCAGAAGAAGAATTCTCGTTTTTACTTAGCGTAGTATTGGACATTTTTCAAGTTGGACTCAATGATAATTTAGTGTGGAATTGGATGGTAAACTGACTGAATACTAATGCAAAAATTAGCCGTGTAATAAAATATTCTGGTTGTTAAGCACTTGTACACAACATCTACAGTAAACCCTTACGTTAAACTATCTCTGGTGGATGAAATAAAAAATAAATCAATTAATAACTTAACTTAATAACAATTCCTTCTATGATTAACATGGAAAAGAAATTGTCTAACTGAACGAGATAGAACGATGCCGAAAGAAAATGCGTTTTTCTTATACCATAAAATTGATTGAAATGACGTTATAACGTTATAACAACTGATTGCCTAATAATATCCCTATCAATCAACAAGCCAGTCAGAATCCTGTTCTGCCTCTTGACCTCTAGAGTCTTGAATAGCAAACGCAGAACTGATTGACAGAACTGTACTGTTATTGAGAATTTGTAGGCGTTCCAGGTAGACTCTGTACTGCACCGCTCAAACGAGTACATTTACTACATTTATAGCAATATGCTACGATATGTATATTGACATCAAGCCGTATAGTATTTAGTTAGTTACTTATCATTGGAGTCCACCTGATAATAGAGTAGTGTGATGGAGAGTTTGATGAGTCAGCGTTAGCGGTATTAGTTGCCATGTACAGAAATACACAAAGGCTTTAGTAGAAAAGGGATACTTTAATGTAGACTATAATTGCGTACAATGTAATGGGTTACGATAAAACAACGTGTAAACTGTCGTAAACTAACGTCAGAAAATATTAACATTGTGACTGTTGCAACTAACGAAATCTGAAGTAGAAATCGCTGTACTGAAATAGGTTACTATAGATCTCTCCTTGTAGATTCGAGAGAAACAAATTGGTTTATATTCACTCTCTTTAAATACCGTATTTAAAAGTTTGAGATATAATACTGTAATCATAGTACTAACGTAAAGAACTATAATTAATTATACCCCAATTTATTGATACCATCAAATTACGCAGCGATAGTATCAATAGATAACTACAGTATAATTATCCATTAGGCTAATTTATATTTTTAATACATCAACATACAGTACTTCGATCATTTGAATTTGGTGCCAGTTACGCGGGCACGAAAATAGCAAAGTCTTAAAATAATATTCAAGTAAATCCATCCCTTATGCATCCTATACTATAGCACTATTATTAGTTTCTTACACGTTGAGAATATATAATTATCCAATTCTAGTCAATTATTTTCATCATTTATTCGATACGTCAATTGATTAGATTAGAGATTTCCTGTAATCAAAACGTTTTTTGATTTATAAATTTTACTTCGGAAAGTCAGTAGTATGTAATTTCAAAGATTCTTTGTTATATTATGACTGCTCTCCTTTCTATAGTATAGTTTGTTTCCTATACCTTCGAAAACTTTAAATTTGGAACCACTTGCAACTGAACACACAGATCCATGAGAAGAAGATTATAATATTATCAAATGGCTTTATCTTAAGCAACAATATAATTTTAAGTCAATGTAAGCGGCGATAAAAATATGATATACTATCTTATAGGATCGAGAGTTATCAAAAATTATCATGTTATACGAGTAGTAGATCGTACAAAAGAAAGAATAGATTTAATTGATACAATTAATCAAATGAAAAAATTAAATACCGTTCATAAGAAAATATTTATTACAACTTAACATTAACTTAACAATAAAACAATCTACGTATTGAAACATGCTTAATCTCAATAAATATCTCACCGAACATCAGTTAGTTTACTGAAATAATCATTGAAGTATGCAAATCGATTCTAGAAGTCATACTTTTCTTCTGTAGGTGTATCTTCTCGACTATCATTAGCATATTGAATTTGATACGTATCGGTTGTTTCTTTGCTACTAGCAGGTAGGTTCTTGTTTTTTTGCTTCGATGATTTAATCTCTGCT